ATAGTAATGCATATTTCTATGGCTTTGGTAAGAACAAAAGGATAGTAATTTTTGATACGCTTATTCGTGGTTTCAAATTTCCAAATAAAAACGAAGATCTAGCGAAGCAGGAAACTAAAAATGACTCAGACCAACGAGGCTGTGCAGTTGATGAAGAGATTTTGTCAGTGATCGCTCATGAATTAGGACATTGGAAACTAGGGCATACAATTTACAATCTTTTCATCGGGAAGGCAAATCTCTTGATGTTGTTTGTAATATTTGGCCTTCTGATGGATGTGGATGATTTGTTCATTTCCTTTGGTTTTAAAAGTGACGATACACCAATAATACTGAGACTGTTTATTATCTTTCAGTACATTTTCTCTCCGTATAATACGGTTATGGACTTTCTAATGACAGTCTTGTCTAGGAAATTTGAATTCCAGGCAGATGTCTTTGCTGCTAAATTGGGTTATAAACAGTATTTAAAATCTGCCTTGGTAATTCTGTTAAAAGACAATTTATCATTTCCTGTCTGTGATTGGTTGTATTCAATGTTTAACCATTCCCATCCACCACTTCTTGAGCGTTTGAGTGCAATTGACAAGTGTAAATCTGACTAAATTATGTTGTGTTTCCATTCACATTTGTTTTATTCGGCCTCTGTTGGTTGAATATTGTTTGGCATTCACCGTTTGTTGTTCACTTTTACAAAATTTTCTCAGTGTTTGTAAGTAAGATGTTTTTTCATTATATAAATTTACTTTAAAAGCCAAACCGTACTTCTCTTTAAAAACGACCTAACATAATCAGGTTGGGGAACCTCTTTTTTCTATGATGTTCTGCAGCGTAAGAGGTACCCAAAGAAAGAATATGTTTAGATTCATACTTGGGAATAAGTTTTTTCGATCTTAATATTTACATAAGTTAGGTGTTGATTCGATTTTCAGTCCATATAACCGGTTTCTTAAGGACCGTTAGGCACTTATTTAGGCCTGTTACCCCTCATGGAGGAGCATAGGCCGCCCACTAGAATTCTCCATCCAACTCTGTCCTGATCAACGCTTTCCAGTTGTTATTCATTCTTTCGATGTCTGATTCCAGTTCTCGGCACAGTGTGTTCTTTGGTCTAACTCTTTTCCATTTCTCTTCAGAATTACAAGCTAGCGCTTGCTTTGTGATGCAGTTTGGTGATCTCCGTAATATATATCCTATCAGCTTCCAACGCCTTTTCCTAATTTCCTCTTCAGCTGGAAGCTGGTTTGTTCTCTCTCAGTATCCTGTTGTTGATGGTATTCATCCAATAGATATTGAGTAGACAACTGTTTATAATTACCAATACAGTTTTGATGATGGTTGTAAAGGTTTTCCAAGTTTCAGCTCCGTACAGTAGAACTGTCTTGACGTCCGTATCAAAGGTTCTAACTTTGATGTTGACTGACGGTTCAGTTGTAAGAGTGCGGCCCTTGCTTTGCCAATCCTTACCTTTACATCTGCATCAGATTCTCTTAATTCATCGATGACGATGTCCAGGTACGTGAAAGTTTCCATCTCTTCCAGAGTTTCTCCACCAAGTGTGGTTGGGTTGGTGTTCTCCGTGTTATATTTGAGCATCTTGCTTCTCCACTTTTGTATGTTGAGGCCTACTGATGCAGATGCTTCTGCTACACTAAATATCTTCATCTGCATCTGTTGGTATGTATGCAAAAGAAGGGCTAAATAATCTACGAAGTCCAAATCGTGTAGTTGTATGCGAGCTGTCCATTGTATTTCATGCTTCCCTTGAGATGTGGAGGTCTTCATAATCCAGTCAACCACTAGAAGAAAGAGAAAAGGTGAGAATAAGTAGCATTGTCTGACACCGGTCCTCACTTGGGATGCGTTTGTCAGCTGTCCTCCAGGTGCGACTTTGCAGTGTAGTTCGTCGTATGACTTTCGTATGATGTTGACAGTCTTAGGTAGACCATAGTGTCGAAGAAGGTTCCATAAGATTCTCTCACCAACGCTGTCAAATGCCGCATAGTTAAGAAAGTGATATATAGTGACAAATTCCATCCAACTGATTGTTCAACAATGATCCGTAGTGTCGCGATGGTTTGTGCACGACTTATCCTTACGAAATCCGACCTGTTGATCTGGAAGCTGGACGTCTACTGAATGTTTTTATCCGGTTGAGCAACACTGTTGGAAATTTTCCCTGGTACCGACAGTAGTGTGATACTTCTATAGTTTTCACATTTGCTCAGATCTTTCTTTAATATATTGATGAGGTGTCCTTCTTTTCAGTCTGTCGCCACTTGTTCTTCTTCCCAAATCTTCCTGAATAGGACGTGGAGTATCGTTGCAGTTGCTTCTCTGTCCGACTTCAGTGCTTTGGCTGGTATACTACCATGTTCTGCTTTCCAACCCTTCATTTATCTGATGGCCATCCTGATTTCTATCGTTGGTAGAGTGACATCAACAGGAGGGTTGTAGGTGTTGCTTCGATATCCGGTGGGTTCAGTAGGGCTGTTCTGTTCAAGAATTCCTTGAAATATTCCACCCATCTGTTCCTTTGTTCTTGAATCTCAGTGATTGGTTTTCCTTCTTTGTCCCTGACCGGTCTCTCTGGTTTACTATATTTCCTTGCCAGTTTCTTCATTGTGTCACATAGTTGTTGCAGCTTTTTCCACTGTCGTTGCTAGGTCTTCCACGTATTTCTGCTTGTCAGCCCCAGTGCTCCTCTTCACTCTTGTTTGCTCCTATGTATTCGACGTGTGCCTTAACTTTCTCTGTTCTTGTTCGTTTGTTGTTAATTGCTGTCTTCTTGTTCTTCCTTTCCTGAATCTTGTCCAGGGTTTCGATCGAGATTCATTCCTTATGAAGATGCTTCTTACGGCCCAGAACCTCCTGACACGTCGAAGTTAGTGCTTTTTTGATCTCTTTCCAATTGTCCTCCACAGTAGTGCCTTCTTCTCTGAGTAGATTTTGTAGGGCTTAGAACCTTTTGTTGAGAGCTATCTTGAATTCGTTGAGTTTGACATTATCTTGAAGGGAGGCTGTATTGAACATTCATATTGCTGTTTCTTAGCTGTCCATTGTTTATTTAACTTCAGTTTCATCTTGGTAACCAGCAGGTGGTGATCTAAAGCTATGTCAGCTCCTCTTCTGGTTCTCACGTCTTCCATTAACTCGAATTTTTTACTGATGTAAATATGATCGGTCTGATTCTCTGTAGTGTGGTCCGGTGAAACCCATTTAGTTTTGGGTATACGTTTGTGGAGGGATATTGTGCCACTTATAATCATGTTGAAAACACGTAAGTTTGCGAATCTTGAGCCATTCTCGCTCCTTTCTTCCAATCCATGTCATCCCATGGTGTCTTCATATTCGGTGTTCTCCTTACAGAAATTTGCGTATAAGTCTCCCATCAGGGTGGTCATTTTATTCTTTAAGTAATTCACTACGACCGATTGCAGTCTCTCGTTAAACTGATCTTTATCGTCGTCATTGCTATTATTGGTAGATGCATAACACTGGATAACATTCATTGTGATTCCCTTTGTTTTGAATGATGCTTTGATCATTCTGGATCCATGGGATTTCCATCATATAAGTGTATTACGTGCTTCTCTGAACAGCAATAGAGCAACCCCCTTCTTGTACGGAGCATTTTCTTCGTGATCAGAGTATAGTAGCATCTCTCCGGGATCTAATCCTTTCTATCCAGCTTGGGTTCAATGTGTTTCACCTATTCCGAGCGCCATCGAGTTGTATCCTCATTTTCTCAGATGTTCGCTTGGTCCTCTCGGTCTTTCACATTATCCGAATGTTCCATATGGCTATATTAATTATTGCTGTGGTTGTTAGAAAGAGCTTGGATCTCGTGACTTCCGAAGAATCTCAGTTTTCATCATGAGGTGTCATAATTATTCCTTGAACTCGGAAGGTACAGTTTAAATTGTTTATTCTGGTTAGCGCTTTTTAACAAGATTGTTTTCTACATGATGGGGTTGCTGGCCCTATACACAACCCTCTTTTACCCGGGCTTGGGACCGACAGTAACCCTAGAAGATCTGTATGCGAAGTTGAGGGTCGTTAGGTATTGTATTCAGAAAGTCGTATAGTCTGAGTGCAAGCTATCAGTAAACCCATCAACTCAAACCTCTGAATTTATGACTAGTGGTATTTCGCACATTATTGGTGCATATAATGTTTCTTTAAATAGGATTAATTTAAATAGATTTTATTATCAAACTGGTCGCCACAAACACAAATCCTTAATTTAATGGGATAGAAAGTACGTAGATTATATATATATATATATATATATATATATATATATATATATATATATATATATATATATATATATATATATATATATATATATATTTATATATATATATATATATATATATATATATATATATATATATATATATATATACTTGCATCCTTTCATAATTACAAACGTACAGTAGGCTAGTGCCATAAAACAGTTAAATTATTAATTCAACAAACTAAAATTTTCCCAAGGTGATCTGTGTCAGTGTCATAAGTTGAAAGCTTGTTCAATTGTACGATTATATACTAAGTAGTTTTCCAGAGAAAAATAACCAGTTAAACCTTCGTCTTCATGCATTCAGTTAAAAGACTTCTAACCACTAATTGGTCTTCCTACAGTGAAGAATGTATAAGGGGTAACTTGGTATGTTGTTTTTCATAGTTTCTACAGTTTCTTTGTCAGTGTTATCCGACTCGCTTTTTTGTGTAGTTCAGTGTTCCTTATACAGAATTTAGGAATTTCAGAGGACTGCTTGCTACTCTCCATTCTGATTATCTGTAGATTAGGCCACTTCCCCTCATTTAGATCTTAGTTGTTAGTCAAAAGAACTGTACAAACATCTTTACTTTAAATACTGGGTGAAACAAATGGTTAGCAACTATTGCTTAATGGTGAAGTCGCTCAAAGTTCGTAGTAATTAATATTCAAATTCAATGTAGGGGATTACTCGCTGTTTCTATATGAAGTTGGCTAGAAGTCGTAAAAGGTACAGTTATAAATTCTAAACATTTTGAGTACATATTGTTACTGTAGTTGTTGAGAAAACTATGTACCAGCGTGTTCACCAAACACCAAACATCAGTCAAGAATAAATTCATGTTATCACTTGATGTATCATCATTATTCACTAATATTCCACTACTTGAAACGGTTGAATTTATTTGCAATGAACTAACGGCGATACGCATAGAAACCCCGATTCCCGCATGCGCGATAAAGCAGTTAATTCTTAGGTGCACTATGAACGTCCAATTCAGATTTGACAATGAATACTATAGACAACTAGATGGAGTCGCCATGGGATCACCATTAGGCCCTCTGCTGGCTAACATTTTCCTTGCAAAACCGGAAAATGGACCACTTAAAAGTACAATTACCCATTTACCAACTTATTATCGCTATATAGATGATACCTTCATAGTATTAGAGAAAGAAAATGATAAGCACAATTTACTTAATATATTTAATAACGTTCACCCATCAATTAACTTTACATCAGAAGATTAACAGAATAATAGCATATATTTTCTAGATGTCCAACTAACTAGAAGAACAGACGGAACTATAAAAAGAAGAGTACACAGAAAGTCAGCAGCTGGTCAATACACTCATTTCCACAGTGCAGTTCCAACCAGATACAAAAGGAACTTAATAAAGATCTTGACACATCGTACTAGAATGGTCTGTTCTGAAGACACTATTGAAGATGAATTGAACAATATTCGGAACCTACTCAGTCTGAATGGGTACCCAATGAAATTCATCGAAAAACATATGACGGAGAAGAAAACAAGGACAAAAATACCCACTGTCCCCAAGAAGGTATTATTCATAAAACTACAATTCATAAATGACACCATTGAAGAAGTCATGACTCAGAAACTAAGAAGAGCTGTGCAAAAAACATTTAATGCTGCCAAATTAAATGTTATCTTCTACAACCACCCGAAAATAAGAACATCCATTAAAGACAGTCTGCCAGAATTCGCCAAATCTATGTGTATCTATCGTTTCAACTGCTCCTGTGGGGCCAGTTACATAGGGCGTACAATTCGACAGGTCCGTCACCGCATTACAGAACATCATCCAACATGGCTAAGCAAAGGACAGGTGAAAGTGATTAAAAGTTCTATTCTCTCTCACTTGGTTGACACAGGTCATGAAGTCGAAGTGAATAAAGCATTTAAGGTTATCTACAATATTCCATCAAATCTACCACATGGTTTACGAATGCGCCTTTTGTACATTGCGGAAGCCATCGCAATCCATGTTCACAAACCTGACCTTTGCATCCAAAAGAAATTCGTACAACCACTTTCTCTACCCTGGCCTTCAGTATAAAATTTCCGTCAGAAGAACTATTTTTCATACTTCTTCCATTTTTTATTTTAAATTTTTGTAATTTTGTTTCTATCGCTTTTGAGCCTTATAACTTCTCAACATTCATCTCTTGATTCTTACGTAACTACTATCCTATTGACCATCCGGTAAAATTCTATTCCTTCTTTGTTTCTTATATTACGCAACATAGCAACTTCTTGATTACTTTGAATATTAATAATCCTCTTCCAATTACTCAATGTTAATCTAAATGTCATTATGTAATTATTACGTAACGTATCCACTCGATGAGTATTATATTATTATTGTAAAACGTATATATATTAGTGTAGAGCCATGATGAAAAACTAATTGAAAAGAAATTTCTTCGCTCAATTCGTTCCTTCTTTATTTACCAAATGTAGTTTTAGTTACCATTGTTAGTAAAAAGCTGTCAACTTGAGAAGACCGGTCATATTACAATTTTACAAACTATGATAGATGGCTTGTTAGGAAAACACGCTCAGAGAGGGCATCTCAATAACTCAAACCTTATGTTGGTATTTCCGTTATATTCAAAACTCTCACCAATGCGTCATTTATATTATTGATTACAGTAATGATAATGATCCTTTACTTCTAAGTCTCATGTTTTGTATTTTCAGTAAATTGTATGGGCATTATAAAAGAGTAACGCATTGTCACTCGAGTGAAATGCTCGTGCTTATGTATCAACTTTAATAATACAAGTATTAGTGAATAAAAAAAATGACAATGCAAGTTGTCAAGTACAGATTCGCGTACTCGATGTTGAACCACACTTTATATGTAAAGGTAAGTGATACTACCCAATTACTCAGACTGAAATAGGTGGAGCAGGACAGATATTTCCTTCTATCAAAGTATCTTTTAACTTATTTATTTATTTAAGAATTCGCATTAATAATGAAGAATAAAATATGAATAGACTTTTATTCACAAACAATATAAAACTGAATATTTATAACATTTATAATATAAAAGGTAATTCTATTAGGTCTAAATTTTATAAGCAGTAAAAAGAAAATCTTTACATTCCTTTTGATTACACTTACAAATCACAATCAAAATATAAACCTGTAAAACTAACTGAATATTTAACAATGTTAATCGAGTCTCCTGAATAATAGCTGGTATATATATATATATATATAGAGTGTTCCTTGTTTAATATTTAGAAAATTCAATTTTAACTTCCATAGAAAAATATGTATCAAAAAATTTGCCTTTCTTTAAAATGTCAACTAGAAAATACAAAGTGAAATTTTATAAATTAATGAGATTGTGTAAATATGTTTTTTCTTTCTTTTTCTTTCTTTCTTCTCTACTAGTTTGGTTGATTAATAAAAAATAAACTTGAATGAATGAGTGTGTGAAATAAATTGTTGTTGATAGTTTCAAACAAAAATAATGACACTTTTCAAATCTCATATTATTATTATTATTATTATTATTATTATTATTATTATTATTATTATTATTATTACTGTTGTCATCATTTGGTAAAATACATATATATAAAATGAGTTTCGTATTAAAAGTTTCAATATCATAAATGGTTTTATGATATTCTAACTTCTAAGTTGATTCTTATTGAAATATTTCGGAATTTTTGTTTATTTATTGATTGACATTTTTATTCTTCCTTTTTGTTTATTTCTATTATGTCATTATTATCATCAACTTTTTTTTGTACAAAAAATAGGGCGCTTCTAACATTTATATTGTTTGTTTGTTTTCTCTCTGTAGACTTGTTTGTGCTGTCATAGTAAACAGAAGAAAAAAATAAGTGGATGAAAGAATAAATAATTTATTATTATGGTGGTGTTGTAAATTCGACATTTTCTCACATAGAATTTGTTGTAGTTATTGTTGGTATTTATTCAATTTTTTTTGAAAATTCACTGATTACAACAAGCTGTGAGGAATGTGATTTACATATGCTACATCTATTTTCTAAACCATAATAAATGTTTAGGTATGGTAGCTGTTATCTTCAAAGTTTAGGAGTCTTAAAAGTTAATCAACTTGAAACTATAGTTCTGTCAATTAAGTTGACAGTTGGTCAATACTCAAATGCATAAAATTCGAGCCTCGGTATTTCCTGCGAATGTAATTTTCTTGTGCTTACTGCTAAATCTTGCAATTTTCTAGCTGATGAAATGTGTTTTTAAGTAAGAAGTATAAAAACAAATTTCTTTGTCAAGCAAATGTGTTTTTGTTAAATAATAAAGATAATAATAACGTCTACATATAACTTCCTAATGCTAATCTAATTTTATCGATGAAGGTGAGAATGGGGGTACGAAACATACAGCTGTTTAGTACAATTGCGTAATTTGTTTATTATTGAGCAAGTGGAGAAAATGTGTAGGTAATACAGCATCTAAATTAGATTTTCTACCTATCGTTAATTATCAATTAGCTATATCTCCAATTATGAGAAAACTTCTTAACCAGAGATTTGTACCAGAAATATTTAGCATTGGTATAAACTGTACGAATATCAGTCATCTACACTAAATTAGGCTAAATAAAATGTTAAGGTACATTTATTCACCAGTTTCTGGGCAATACGTCATACCATATGTGAAGGCTGCGCAAATCAAAACAGGAGGAGCTGGGTTCGAAACAAGTTTAGTAGCTGAAAATCGAATACCTTAACTACTATAAATAGTAATTCCAGCAATATCATTTATTTTCCACCACAGACCAGGTTATATTTTTTGTGGTTGTAGTATTAGGACAAACAGTTTGGAATGAAAAATTAAGTATCCGTCTAGCAAAGTTCTCGACTTGGAATTCAGGTCAAGACAGGACTCCCTACTTATTTTATCCAGCTGTTCGATATTCAGATTGAAGTTTGTAGTTTTAAGCCTAGATTTTCATCGCTGTTGGGCGTTTGCAAAAATGTGTAAATTCATTCAATCCGGATATATTCGTAAACACTCATACACAGTGCAATGATATTTACAGTATTTTATTTCCAAAAGATTTCATAACACACTTAGGCTCTCGGTTAAATGCTGTCATTCTTTTCACATTATAGTAATTTTTTAAGTTTGCACCCAAAAAACACTTAAGACAGATTTATTGGTCATTATGAGTTTTATTATACTCGTGTTACTATTTTCATATTAAAATAAACCAAAAAGGTCAATGGCATGCTGAGTAATAAGAGTTTTCACTAATAAAAAGTTTACAGTTTTGCACTGTGAACAGTTTGTTTTCTGCGTTCTAATATCATATGAGATCTCTTGACATGAATATGTTTCAACAGCAAAGAGTAGGTTCTCATGCAATGAACCAATTATGTAGATGAAAGACTTGCTATAAATAATTGTATACATATCACATTTAACCTGTAATTAAATGTCATAGATAAATAATCAGTCATTGGTAAACAGTTATCAAATATAAACTGTTTATTTAACGTGTAAGTTAACGTGTACCGGTTTTGTATATATTGCAATTAACTTGATAATGATGTACTGTGCACACATAAATTATTTTCTACTTCATTGTTTTTTTTTAATCATGGATAACTTACGGGTTAACCATTTTTTAGGGGATTGTATAAATTTTCTAGAATTTTTATTTTTCTCACAGCATAAACCACCATTTGTTGTTGATTCGGTCAATATTGTTGACGTCTTAGATATTCCCGGCGTGTTTGTGATTGAATTGGTCATTGACTGTGTACATGATGATATTATTGAAGCAGGCAAATAATTATCATTATTTTCTTTCACATTTAACGTCATCTCATCATGAATATGAATACTAATGTTGTCTGTATAATTATTTTGAATAGATTGTAAATTATTTGAATTGTTGATTTCATCAATCCCTGTTAATTTTGATTTCATCGTTATCATGTTACCATTTAAATGCTTTTGTACATCATTTCTAGAATCATGATTGTGATTTACATTGGATTGATCATTCAATGTTAAATATTCATTGTGCAATCCGTTTTCTTGTTTTACGCAATCTTTAAATTTGTCCATTTTATTATTATCAGTAGTGGTAGAATTATTACTGACCTTGTTTAAAATATACTTATTTTCACATAATGGTTGTGTACAATTTATCAGTTCTTTATCATTTAAACAAGGTAGTAGTCCGTTAGAAAGTACTGACTGATCCCTTTCCTTGAATTTTGTGGTTGTTGAATTGACTTGGTTAGTTAACTTA